ATGTTTTTTACAATAATGTACGCGAGTGATTTGCGAGGTGGTGACGCGCTTCAGATGCCGCTTAGATTTGTCCGTTACGTCGAAACGGCGGACGCATTAAAGCCGACGCGTTTCACGCGTCTGCTTCTTTTTAGCCTTTTAGTTCGCATATCGTGCTTTCCGACCTTTTTCATTGCATTCTACGGACGGAGCTTGTCAGTTCCTACTTCGAGGACAAAGAAAGTGGTCTCGGTCGACTGCTCACTTCGCGAGGAATGTTGCGTCGGTTTCTCAGCCATTTTTACATTTCAAATTCGCGATTCTAGATATAACGGCGTGTCATATATGAATTAAGGGCGAGTGATCTTTCGTGAAAGAAACGATAACGTTAACGTCTCTGTTTCCGCAATTCTCTCTATTTTGCATGAAAAGTGTCCAATGCGGTGCCGAGATCGCTCGTTTCTCTTCCGCCATCCAAATCCAAGTGATATCCTTCGCACATTCGATCGAGTGTCGGAGCACTCCCGCGCTGAATCGTCATTCTCTCAGCTTGTTTGCAGAGCGCCGGAAGAGTAAAGCGATCGCTCAGTCCCAACCCGACCAAGACCGCCGCACCGGTCCAGCCGGTGGCGAATCCGGTCTCCTCGTCGGCGCCCACGGTGGAGTCGCGAAACGACAGCAACAACAACAATCGTCATCACGGCGATCATCATCCTAGCAACGACGGTGCATCCTCCGTGGAGGAATTGGGCGCTAAACGACCGCTCCATCCGGCGTTGGTTGGCGCCGGCACTGCCTTGGAAGTAAAGCCGCTCTGGGAGGAATTCCACCAGTTGGGTACCGAAATGATCGTTACGAAAGCCGGGCGAAGAATGTTCCCCACGTTCCAGGTGAGGATCGCTCATTAAAAGGAACGAAACGCCATCGATGAAACGGATTCAATGTAAAAGCTGTATCGGCTATGCAGAGCTTCGAGGAAGAACAGGGTTCTAGAGCGAGAAGAAAATTTTGAATATTCATATTTGATAGAGTGTCTCTACTTGTATGTCGGATTTATCTTATAATATGAAGGTGAATCGTGACGTGATTACAAGTGCACTTTATGCGCGACTTTACAATTTCTTTTAATTGTTCGCGAAATGCGTCTCGCGGAACGAGCACAAAAAAGTAACGGAGATTTCGTCAATCGGCAGTGTCGACTATTCGGTTTGGACCCCAACACGGAATATCTGATGGTAATGGACTTCGTGCCGTGTGACGACAAAAGATACCGATACGCCTTCCATAACAGCGCTTGGGTCGTAGCGGGTCGCGCTGATCCAGTGTCACCTCCCAGGATCCACGTGCATCCCGATAGTCCTGCGAGCGGCGCGCATTGGATGAAGCAGCCGATTTCCTTCGACAAACTGAAGCTGACGAACAATCAACTCGACGATAACGGACACGTGAGTTGATCTCTCATTTTTGTCGAATTGTTCACGATAGTTCAGTGATGCATCTCACAGAAGCAAATATAAAATGTAACTTTGCACGAGAATCGCTTGCCCGATGATTTTACTGCGCCACCGATGTTCCTTTCGTTCCAGTTTTTTCACACGCGGCCGTCGCGTTGCTCGTTCCATAAAGCACACCTACGCAATAAAGTAGAGTGAGAGATGCAACGGTTTCCACGTGTTTGTCGTTTACGGACGAGTTCGCTTTAATTGACCTGAGATATGAGCTTGATGTCGCTCGCGAGATGTCGCTCGCGAGGAATTACGAAGAGCACGGAAAAGCGCGACACGTCGCGTCTCGCTACAACGTTTTCGCTGGGATCTACCATCGCTTAAAGACGCCGGTCGTACATTAACTGTCGCATATCTTTTTTTTTCTACTAAGGAGCGTACGTCACATTGTATCGGTTGTCTTAAAACAATTAGCTATGCGTCAAAACAATGTAGAGTATCGTACGTATATGAAAGCATAGAAGATTCTTAGAAAATTTTCCTTTATCCTCCGATCTACGTGAATCTGTTGAGAGTAAACATGTTTTTTTTCAATATCTATTTTTACGACAATCTTGTATTTTCTTCAATTTTTATACACTATATTATTAGATGTCGATGTCGCGACAAGATTTCAGAACTGTACATACAGTTATAAGTCTGCATTCTAAGCATTTTTCACATTTATTCTTTTAAGTTTTTAATGATATTTTATTACGAATCATGACAGTTTTTATCTTTCTTTTTTCCTTTCACGCTTCTTCCATATTTTCTTTCCAAGGTCTTTTCCTACGTGCTCCTAGGTGCTTTTCAAAAGCAAGATAATTATTGTCATAGGAAAATAGATTGCAATAATTTCACGGCAGGGCGCACCTAAGGGTTAATGCTATTTGTACGCCTCGAAATATCTTGTCTGCGGCGTATTAATCTCGCCTTCCTGTTGCCACGGGCGAGAACGAGAGTATCGTGTATAAAGTAACGTAAACAGATGTAGCGTAAACCACACCGTAGAGGCCTGGGAAAGAAGCCGTACACTTTGTAACACGCGCCGGTTTAACGCGCCGAAAGAATTAGCAGCAGTTAGCATATTGGCAAATGCGACGAGCAACGTTGATCTCGATTTAAAATCGATTGTGAAATCTCTCGCGAAAGTGCTTATCGTTTGCCAGGACGGTGATAACGAAGTCCGCTCTTCGTGATAATTTTGCACAAGATGAAAACTGAAGAGTTAAAATTATAAACCGATCAGAGCCGAGGCTCTCAATAAATTGTGACGTTAGAAGAAAAAAGATAATATCGACAAAATTACTTATGGTCTGTTCTTTTCAGCTGCATTGTTGAACTGGTGCAATAAGTTTGAGTGAGAAAAAATATACTTGTCTCACTTTAATTTATTGCACCAATTCAGCAGTGCAGGTGAAAAAAACAGACTATTAGATATATTAATTGTCGAAACTCAGTTAATTGCGCCGCATGTTCGTGGTGACAAAGCAGCCGATCGCCGCGGTCGTTCTTCGATTCTCTCTCGATGGCGCGCGGCGCACGATGCACCTGCGGGTCGTCCCGACGCCGAAAATAATCCCTCACGGTCGCGTTCGTGCCAAATCTATCAAGCGGACCGTAAACGCGATCGCGAAATGGGTTTAGTGTTGCGATGTATCGGCATACCAATGAACGAAACGATGACATACCGACCCCGCGCGCATACATCAGTCGCAATTTAGAAAGAGGCCAGGTGACCAAGCCGCGATCATGTCACGTTCCATATTTCTGCGGCTGATTGTCACCTGGCTGCTACTTATCGCGCTTTTGCGCCTCTTTGAAAACTCGAATCCAATGCGATACTTTCTCGAATCGATAGAGCAACGACATTTGTGCGATCGTGCTTGGCAACGAATCGATCGACCGTTGAACGAGATGTAAGTCTGAGATGTAAGGGTTGCGAGTGATTCGTCACTTTCTTAATTAATTATCGTATTTAATTGACGATTCATATGAGCTAATCCAAATAGAGACCATTTAACTGACAACTGATTTCAACAAGTTCAATCAATTTTTACTCTGAGCCTGACAGACAATAAGCGAATGAAATTTTGAGGATACGCAGTGTCTAAACCGTGTAAAAGATCTATGGGCGAGCCAGGAATGCCTGCTGATGTTCGCTCTTAATAGTTTAGGTTTAGTAAAACTCATTAATGTAGCTATTCAAGACAAATGTTCCGCATTTTGAACGAAAATCAAGCGGCGCAGATAGAAAATTTATCGCATTATTCATAGCACTTGCGTTGCGTACATAAATTTCTTGAAGATGTTTTAGATAAACTCGCCTGCGATATATCGCGTGCCGAAGTTTATACAGTCGTGAGAGATAAGATTTAATTTGCGACAGGAACGTCTTTCGAGACGAAGAAAGGGGAGCCTTCTCCGCAAGAATGTATCGCTCTTCTCTCACGAGAGGACCTCTGACCCGTGGCGAGAGGTCGTTCTTTTTCTCCTGTTACACAGAATAGTTTGTTCCTTTAATTGCGCACCGAAAAATGTGGCACCGGGCCGTGTAAAAATCTATGGGCGAGTCGGGAATGCCTGCCGATGTTCGTCTTTAATTGATGCACTCGCTATCGCGAGACATCCTAGAATGTTTGGAGAAAACTATCGAGTATCACGAAGCTGCGAGGCACCCCTAAGTTCATCCTGAACACAATGCGATAATAGAAGTTCAGCTTTAAACTATATAACAATAGTTTAATTAATTAACGTACACGGCGAAGGCACAAGTGAATGTGGAATGCATGTACGTGTCATGAGATCTCGGGTCAAGACAATCGACAAAAGTCCCTTCAATTTTAGATAGACTTTACTCGAATAAAACCACTTACACCTTGGTAATGTTATTTAAAGTGAAATTCGAAAGATTGTGCGAACGATACGTTTTAATCTTTGGGAGAAATTTACTCGAAACAGTTTGAAGACTTTTTAGACTTTGCTAACAAGTGCGAAATGTGCGGGATTACAGTAATGTGTACATGAATTTGGAATACAAAATGCAATGTGTCGACTATGAGAAATCACCGCGAAGTTGAAAAGGGACCAGTCCCATCTCAGGAGAGAGTAAGGGAAAACCACCGGTGAAAAAGTACTCTTCCCCAGACAACACAAGAATTTCTGAGAACGTTCCAGGGATATTCTGAGGATATTGGGACGTTCTCAGAACGTACTCAGGACGTTCCCTGGATATCTGTGCTGTCAGG